GGACGATAACACACACAAAACTAAAAGAAAAAGAGAGGACATAGGGGCTCAGCAACCCTCCTCGGAGCCACTGTCTCCTCTGGGAGCCGCACTGGCTGGGAACTAACTTCACTCCTCTGGGAACTGCCTAGGCTGGTCAGGTGTCCTCCTGCACAGCATGTGCCACACCGACCCAGGGTCATGTGTCTGAGGACCCTGCAAGGCCAGGGGTCCTCGAAGGTCCTATGGACAGGCAGTGGGCAGACTGAGGGGTGTGTCAGGAAGGGCACAAGAATGCAGGTGCCTATGGACGAGAAAGCTGCGGCTCACAAGTGCGACACCTTGCCCGAGTTTCCCAGCCCCTGTGCTGTCTCCTGAAATGAAATGTCCTTCGCTGGGTGCTGAGGAAGTGTGCAGTCCTGTTGCTCACATACACTCAGGCTGGACCCGAACCAGGCCAATGAGGCTAGTGAACAAGTCGTCTGTAACCAAGTGTGGCCCTGAGGATGAAGCACAGGGCATAGGGCATGCTGCCTGTTCCACTGCTGCTGAGCTCAGCAGGACGGAGTTGGTGAGTGGGGTCAAAGGAGACCCCATCTTGCAGGTCTGCACAAGGTATGCAGTTTGCAGGTGCCAGGCTCCTGGACCTGGGGGGTAATAAGGCCCCCGGCTCCAGAGATTCCACCACCCCGTTAGGGACAGACTTTCTGGAGCCCTCTTGGGATCTTATTAAGGCAGAAGTGAGCCAGCATCCTCCGAGAGATGAAGACCTGGCCACTCAGCTGACGATGGAGGACGGAGATCTGAGGGTCCCACACTGGTGGTCCCCAGAGGACTTCCTGTTCCTCCAGGGCCTGCTGAGAGGCGTGGGCTCAGGAAGGTGCTCTGCAGGGCCTGTGAGGGGCCAGCAGGTTATCTTTGCCCAAGAGACTCCTGAAGCAGGCTCTTCTGGAGAGCGCAGTAGACCTGCACTGGGTGTTGCAGGGTGGCCTCAGAGAATGCAGCCAGGCCCGAGGAGGCTCTGCTCCCCTGTGTCAGCCCCATTGGAAAGGAGCAAGAAACAGCAAGAGCAGACATCTCCTGGGAGGCAGCCCAGCTCCTCCGCCTGAGGTCTGTCCTCCCAAGCACCCAGGATGGCAAAGCCCCCTACACAGGTTGTGGTCTGAGCTCTGACTGAAGGACTGGGGGTGTCTGGCATGATGGGGCACAGAAAAGATCCTCTAAGCCCATGCTGAATGCCAGTGTTCCCTGCAGACCCTAAGCACTGAGGACCCAAGGCCCTGGGCACCAGGAAGCTTTTTGAAGGCCATCCTGAGGGTCCCAACTCAATCTTACCTCCTCCGAGCATTTTGGGAGGGACGATGCCGTGGTGACTGGTTGGGCACAGGAAGAGACAGGGCAAGGCAGCCCCTTATGACAGGCCCTCGCCTGCCTCTCCATACACCTCCTCACTTCCTCCTCACTGGCCAGGTTCCCCCCATTCTTTCCAGGTACGCAGCCTCCGCTCCCAGTCCCGCACGTGCTGGGCTTTCTCTCGGGAGGACTCCTGCCTTGTCTCTTCTTGCTGATTTCGACTCCTTTTTCAGGGTTCCCCTTCGCAGTCATGTCCTACAAGCCTTCTGGCAACCCTGTCCCAGTCTGGGTGAGCGTCCACCTCTGGGCTTCCACTCTGGGTCTCAGCCTAGTGACGTAGCTGCCTCCCCACCAGACAGAGGCTGTAGAGGCTGGGTACCTTGTGCAGCTGAGCACCTAGGAATGGTCTCAATTAAGTAAATAAATGAATAGGTGAACAAAGGAACAAGAACCATTCCTAAGACATGCGGTGGTTTGCCAGGTGTCGTGGAAAGAAGCCCTCAGCCCAGCCCTGGCAGCTCTCCCGGGCGGACGCCTTGCCTGGGCACTGCAACCCCGCCCCCACACGTGTGGATGTGCATGCCCACACCCATCCCCGAGGCTCACCTCTTGCTTAGCTCCTTCAGGGCCCCACTCCGACACAGGCTCAGGTAGTCCCCCAGCAGCTTCAGCTGCTCCCGCCTCCGCCCAATGAGGTGCATCTGCTCCACGTGCTGGTATAGCGAGGCGTTCACCAGCTGCAGGTTGATGAGGGGCTGGGTCCTGATCTGCATCAGGAATTTCAGGGCCTGCCGGCAGATCTGCAAACAGAAGAGGGGGCACCAGGCATCAGGGATGGGAAAGAAGGGCCCTTGGGCGGGGGTCGTTCTGGGCCAGGCACTGGATTACCAGCGCAGTCGCCCACCTCTGTAGCCACCCTCCCAGCAAAGTAGTGCCAACTTCATTTGACAGGTGAGGACACGGAGGCAGCCCCCCTTGGTAGAATCAGGATGTGGACCCTGCTCATCTGACTCCCAAACCCACCACCCTCCACAGCACCAGGCTGCTGCCTCTCCCCAGCCAGCCTCACCGCTCTGAGCAAGGCTGGTTTAGACCCTTCTCCCGTTTCTATCCTCCCAGACCCCACTTTCCTGCCTCAGAGAAGGTGGTGCTGTCACCGCCACCGGGCCCTGACTCAGGAGCCAGGTGACTGATCTGAATCAGCCTGCGGCCGCAGGAAACCACCAAACAAATTCTGCTGCACCAGAGGCAGCTCTCGGCTCTACCGGCAGCCTCGCGTCTCCAATGGCATCACGTGTTCAATCTCCGTTTCTCACAATTGGTTAATCCACCAGGCCTGGCCCTAACAACAGGGGCAACTCTTGGACACCCATGTGTGCCAGACGCTGGGCTGCGGCCCTCAACCACATCCTCTCTTCATCCTGTCAACATCCTCAGAGACAGCCGAGAAGCTGCAGTGGCTTGTCCAATCCCACCTCTAGGAAGTGGGGCACACGCAGACCTGAGCTGCTGTCTGCACGCCAGGCTGCTGGCCACGCTAAGGAGCTCGTCTGGCCTGCAGTCCCTCACTGCCGTGGCCAGGACAAAAGGGCTCAGCTGTCCTCCATCGCCTCGGGTGACTTCTGAGTGGGATTTCAGAGGCCCAGGTGGGTTGGGATCCTGTCTCCACTGCTTGCTGGCTGTACGGCCATGTAAAACTCACTTAACCTCTCTGTGACTCGGGAAGATGGGGGCCATGAAGCCCCTCTATGTGAGTTCAGAGGGAGAGAGAGCTGCCAGTGTGAGCTCTCGGCACTGCGACGACACCCTCAGTCAATGTGAGCGGCTAGCAGATGCTGTAGGGGCCTGCTGCGGCCAGCTGTGCCCCGCAGAGAATGCCAGAGACCTGCCCTGTGTCTGCCTCCTTTCTTGTAGCTCCATCAGCATATCTTGTCTCTGCCAGTGGACAACTTCTTCTTTCCCACTTCCTGGAGCCGAGGTACCAGCCCTTCCCCAGATCAGGGGCAGCCCAGGGGAGAAACCCACTTGGATGCCACTGCTGCTCTGTAGTCCCAGCCCCGCTCTTCCCACGCCTCAGCCTCGGGCCTGGGGTGAGGCTCCGATGAACCAACACACAGGAATGTACACAGGGAACTGCCAGGCGCTGCCACAGGCAGGGGCTTCATGCTCCCCGGGGCTGCTCCTCTCCTGGGGGAGGAGACAAAGAGGCCCCAGCCTGCCAACTGCCAGCCAGGTCTCGGCACAAGCAGGGCAGCCAGCGTGGCGACTCCAGACCAGTCACCTCTGTTGGGATTTCCCTGTCTCCTCTGGGCCACGGGGCTTTGGGAGGGAGCCGGATCCTTCCTGATCTGACATATGCCGAGAGGATGACTCTATGCAACAAAATGGATCAGGCTCTTGGGAGACATGGAAGGTGTTTTATGATCCAAGTATTCTTTGCATTTCTGGTCATTTTGTTAAAAACGTAACAGGGATGAGGCCAAAGGCCAAAGTACATAATCAAAAAGCCAAAGTTAGCCCACTTCTTTGGGGCTTCCCTTCCGGGGGTGGGGGGTGTCAAGGCTGGGGTAGCCTGGGAGAGCAGGACTCTTCACCTGCAGGGCCCGCGAGGGGCCAGCAGGTTATCTTTGCCCAAGAGACTCCTGAAGCAGGCTCTTCTGGAGAGTGCAGTAGACCTGCACTGGGTGTTGCAGGGTGGCCTCAGAGAATGCAGCCAGGCCCGAGGAGGCTCTGCTCCCCTGTGTCAGCCCCATTGGAAAGGAGCAAGAAACAGCAAGAGCAGACATCTCCTGGGAGGCAGCCCAGCTCCTCCGCCTGAGGTCTGTCCTCCCAAGCACCCAGGATGGCAAAGCCCCCTACACAGGTTGTGGTCTGAGCTCTGACTGAAGGACTGGGGGTGTCTGGCATGATGGGGCACAGAAAAGATCCTCTAAGCCCATGCTGAATGCCAGTGTTCCCTGCAGACCCTAAGCACTGAGGACCCAAGGCCCTGGGCACCAGGAAGCTTTTTGAAGGCCATCCTGAGGGTCCCAACTCAATCTTACCTCCTCCGAGCATTTTGGGAGGGACGATGCCGTGGTGACTGGTTGGGCACAGGAAGAGACAGGGCAAGGCAGCCCCTTATGACAGGCCCTCGCCTGCCTCTCCATACACCTCCTCACTTCCTCCTCACTGGCCAGGTTCCCCCCATTCTTTCCAGGTACGCAGCCTCCGCTCCCAGTCCCGCACGTGCTGGGCTTTCTCTCGGGAGGACTCCTGCCTTGTCTCTTCTTGCTGATTTCGACTCCTTTTTCAGGGTTCCCCTTCGCAGTCATGTCCTACAAGCCTTCTGGCAACCCTGTCCCAGTCTGGGTGAGCGTCCACCTCTGGGCTTCCACTCTGGGTCTCAGCCTAGTGACGTAGCTGCCTCCCCACCAGACAGAGGCTGTAGAGGCTGGGTACCTTGTGCAGCTGAGCACCTAGGAATGGTCTCAATTAAGTAAATAAATGAATAGGTGAACAAAGGAACAAGAACCATTCCTAAGACATGCGGTGGTTTGCCAGGTGTCGTGGAAAGAAGCCCTCAGCCCAGCCCTGGCAGCTCTCCCGGGCGGACGCCTTGCCTGGGCACTGCAACCCCGCCCCCACACGTGTGGATGTGCATGCCCACACCCATCCCCGAGGCTCACCTCTTGCTTAGCTCCTTCAGGGCCCCACTCCGACACAGGCTCAGGTAGTCCCCCAGCAGCTTCAGCTGCTCCCGCCTCCGCCCAATGAGGTGCATCTGCTCCACGTGCTGGTATAGCGAGGCGTTCACCAGCTGCAGGTTGATGAGGGGCTGGGTCCTGATCTGCATCAGGAATTTCAGGGCCTGCCGGCAGATCTGCAAACAGAAGAGGGGGCACCAGGCATCAGGGATGGGAAAGAAGGGCCCTTGGGCGGGGGTCGTTCTGGGCCAGGCACTGGATTACCAGCGCAGTCGCCCACCTCTGTAGCCACCCTCCCAGCAAAGTAGTGCCAACTTCATTTGACAGGTGAGGACACGGAGGCAGCCCCCCTTGGTAGAATCAGGATGTGGACCCTGCTCATCTGACTCCCAAACCCACCACCCTCCACAGCACCAGGCTGCTGCCTCTCCCCAGCCAGCCTCACCGCTCTGAGCAAGGCTGGTTTAGACCCTTCTCCCGTTTCTATCCTCCCAGACCCCACTTTCCTGCCTCAGAGAAGGTGGTGCTGTCACCGCCACAGGGCCCTGACTCAGGAGCCAGGTGACTGATCTGAATCAGCCTGCGGCCACAGGAAACCACCAAACAAATTCTGCTGCACCAGAGGCAGCTCTCGGCTCTACCGGCAGCCTCGCGTCTCCAATGGC